ATCATTGTCGGCAGTCCTCTGCATATATTACTGATCGCAATACGACGGCCAGTGAGGGCTGTAGATTGAGTCCCGAAGCACAACGGGACGAGTATGTCCCGTAAAGTGATCAGTGACTGCCTCTTCTACAATAGTATGCATGTGAGTAAATTAAGCACGAATTTCTTTTGCACACAGTTAAAATAATTTAGACATCCTGGAGCTCATGTAAGTTCGAGGAGGGAAAATGCAAATCAGATCCGTGTAGCCGATAGGCAGCGTCGGCATTCCTTGTGCCCTCGAGTCCCCTCGACAGGAGCTTCCTTATACTGAGATAAGGCCTAAATGACATAAAAACTAGTGTACCAGGCAAACCTAGCGACTTACCTATCCCCTGTAAATCTTCATGGTCTACATATAATCGACAGTCAGACAGCCCCCGGGAGTAATGCTCAAGCATGCAACTTTGCCGGTCTAACCGAAAACCAAAGTGCGCATCTCACAACCCTGGCGAATGCCCAGAACCTACGTTTGTTAAATAAAGGCCTCTGCGGATGCATAAAAAATAAAACTGATATCTGGGTTGGTCAAGGCTGTGCCACTCTCGGTCGCAACTATTTCGCTGGCCTGTAACTCGTAGATATCTTTGTCCCAACCCCGCAAAAAAGCATCTCACATCTGGCCAGTCCCTCCGTTCGCGTTTAGTTTTTGCGACAAACTCCTCTTCTACGCTCGCCCATGACGGCCTGAAAGCGGTGGCATTGATGTCCTGGTTGGGCTGACTGCATGCGTCTTTCAGTGGACGGCGAGGTCCGAAGCATGAGGCTTTCGAATTACGCAGAAAGTTACTTTTTTTACGCTAGAGAGGGCGTAGAGTGCCCGTTTTGTTATATCCTTTATTCATACGCAGTCTGTTTCATTTAACCCAGTTGTAAAGAATTCGACCGCCACCAAAACGCGCAGATTTTATTATTATTCCCTGTAGGACGCAGTTACTCGTTTGTTCTTATTTAATCCAGTTTGAGTCGATGCTTACCGGCCATAAAGACATTTTTTGTTTGGGTTGGGCGAAAGAAACTCGTGGAATCGTTCTCGCCTCTTGCCTTTTCTGTCCGCGGGCGTAGGGGACTGAATGGACGTATTGTCACGGCAGTTATGCTTGGTTTAGTAAAATTCGTAAGTTGGAGTGGGTTTGGGCTATCGATGTCTGTTACTCGTCAAATGTTCTCGAAACCTCTGGGTAATGTGATTTTTAAGATTTTAAAGGAGGTGGGCTGACTTATTCTGCCCTCACCAAAACCTTTCCTCGGCACTTCGATTGTTTATTTTGATGCCCCTCATCAGGGTGAGAGAAGGGACGATGACTTGCGCGAAAATTACTTTATAGTGACAGAAGATCTAAGAAAAATGAAGTGCTCACCGGATCGAGAGAATTCCTTGGCTGCAGTTTCGAAGAGCTTGGGCGGCTCTCCATTATCAAAGCGTCTAGTACAAAAATCGATCAGACAGCCGAATCGGTTGGCCTTGGGCCAACATAACAGGAAGCCACCAACACTCACAAACGACGGCCAGTAGGCCAAGGCAGTGAAAGAAGAAAAAAGATCGATCAGCCCAAGGCCAACTAATTCGGCTGTCTATTCAAAATTCGGATCGATTTTTGCACCAGACGCTTTGATAATGGAGAGTCGCCTAAGCTCTTTGAAACGTCAGCCAAGGAATTCTCTCTATCCAGTGAGCACTTCATTTTTCTTAGACCACCGACCCGGATCTCTTACGTTTGCTAACCTGAGTGAGAGAAGATTTGCGCCGCAAATACTACACTCTCTCCTACCCCCCCGCCCCACCTGGATCTGGTTTCATGACAAAGTCAAGAAGACCGAAGTCTCAATTGTCTGCAAATTATTCTTCTACAAATACCTGGCGGTAAGAACGACGAAAGGGGAACTTGGACAAGACATGCATGCACAGCAGGTCAAAAAGGCCACAGTGACCAATCGACTTCAAGCAAATGAGGACGAGGGCCAGTAAAAGAATGTCTAAAGCGCAGTCACCTATTGACTGGCTAGTTCCACTGGTATTTGGAAGTGGTTTTTCAACTTGCCCGATGCTAATTTATTCCCGTGACGTTTGCAACATTAGGAGGAGGGGAGGGGGCGGTTAGTTACAGACAAGGGGTACTCTCTGAAATGTACTTATAAAACAAAACTTCGTATACGGAAGAGCAAACGGTGGACTTTTGAAGAGCGTTCGTTGTATCCCCAAATTCAAGGCAAGCGGGCTGAAAAAATCTGCAGAGAGAAGTTAATTATGATATAGAAATAAGCTGGCCCTTTTAGATTAATGGGCCTGTGGCGTAAGATGTTTGAAAATACGAGGAAGAAACAAAAGCCCCTGAGAATAAGAGATGTAATTTTAAATGTCCTAACTACCGACAACAGCTCGCTGTCAGTCGAGTTGATAGAGAGGAGTGGCGTCTGGGGGTTGGGGATCGGGGGGGGGGGGAGATTGGGATCGACGGGAACAAGGAGTTCGCGTGCACTGGAACATGTTGCTTGAGGAAGCTGCCAAGAAGGCCCCCCAACAGCGACTGGGATCGTATACTTCATATCCTCCACTTCTCAACACACCCACCGCTCCAAATCATGCGGTTTAACGAAGGGCCGTTGTCCGAATCCTTGAAAACTCACAGGCCAGTTGCCCATTTTCCAAAACGTCGTTTGTTCTGCTAAACAAGGCAAACTGTCGGTATCACGAAGGGCCCTCCATATGTGCACAAGGAACGAATAGCTAGTACATACCTGGTTACTTTGCCCTTTCCCAAAGGTTTGTGAGCGTCTCCTATGTCATGGTCAGAAAACCATGGCCCCCACAGTCTAGTGTGCGCTGGCAGTTCTCGGGCACCTGGTCCTCAGACGGTAGACACTCTTGAGCTCCCGCTGGGTATACAAATCGTGTGCATGGCTACCGAGCCATCCCTGCCTTTTCTGATGTTGTTCTAATTGTTGATGCTGTTGGTCAAAATCCCAGTCAAGTGCTTGTTGTGGACCAGGGAGTGTGAGGTGGGGTGCCTAGATGCGGGCTCGGCCGCGGCATTCCCCTACGCCCTCTCCTGCCTCCGGTCTTCTTGACTCTGTCTTGCCACCGGGTCCAGGTGGGGAGGAGAGGGTGTGGTAGGTGCTGTGCAAGTCCACTCTCACTATAAACCAATTCACGCGCAAGTGACCGTACCTGCTTTATTTGTTGAGAAGCACGCGGTGGACATCGTCGGAGTACCACCTTGTCCATAAGTACACCAAAAGCCGAATCCACGAAGCATAATTTGAAAACATTGTTGCCGATCTGAGTCAGGTGGATAGACTGACCCCGTGAAAATGGGGTGAGCCTATTCCAGAAGCAACACTCTCTGCCTGACTCATGTTTGCATGTACTCATCGGGTATAGTAAATCCGTATTACATAATGATTTTCTGCGCGTATTGCTATCCTGCCCGGCTGATCACCGCAGAAGCATAATCGATTTTTCGCTGATCACAGGCATTTACGCTGTCCAATCAACTCCAGAACTGGCGTAGGCATTGCTCCAACCCGAATAGTTGCAGTTTACTGGCAACTTACTATTGGCCCCCCCCTGCATGCTTCAACCGCATTTTTGCCACTCTGCACAAAGTGAAGCCGTCCTCCCACTGTTTAGACGCCCTCCTCTGCCCTCTAGAGCGTGCCACGTGGTGGAGGCGTTAGGATGGAGTTAAACCGGCGTCCAGCAGGCGTTATTGGAAATGCGGACCCATAATAAATGCCAACTTTGGGATGTGGTGGGAGGCCCAGTAGCCGGTTCACTCCGCGCCAGGTGGGATCCGTGTCACCCCCCCCCCCCAAATTTTTTGCTGAGATACAAAATCTTGGTCGGTGTACGATCTGGACCAGGTGATATGGAGTGGTATGCCTACAAGGGGCGCCTTTTCGCCGCGCCGGCCTCATGCGTCCTCTCTTGCCCCCTCCCCCGGTTCTCTTGACACTGGATTCAGGTGGGGCAGGAAGAGAGAGTACGGCAGATACGATGCAAGTCTACTGCCACTCTAAACTGATTCACACGCAAGTCGCCGTCCCGTGCCCACCATGTTGTGGACCACATGGTGGATATCGTCGGTCACAACAGTCGAATTGTCATATTCGTTCTTCACAAAATCGGACTTGACTTTATGGATGGAACTGGTTGAGGCATGCACATTATCTCTCGCCACATCGACAGGGCGACGATTCCATGCCGTTGAGCCCACTCTTCACCCTCATCGTGTGTTTTCAACAAGCATGTCAGACACGGACCGTAACCACTGCTTCCACTGGACTGAGATGAGGCATGAAGGACTTGAAAAGAATTGAAAAAAACATTCAGAGTTGTCGCAGACTTTTACAGTAAAGGTAGGATCTCACAGGACTTGGGTCCATAGCTCAGATGGTGTTTGAGAACCAAAAGATTCCAATCTAAAATCCAGACGCCTAGTCTGGATTTGGCGCACAGCTGGCCATTGTCAGTAAAAAAGTCAAGAAGCTGCAATACCTGTCTCTCCCCCCCGGTGCGTCGGTAATATCCCTAGAGCCGGGTGGGTATCGTTGACGAAGGGAGCATTTTCGTACTTGGACAGAGTGCGTCTTCTCCAACCAGGAGGATGTGTGGTCAGGTACTGGACTAATTTACCTTTGACAATTTAATCCAGTTTTCTTTACCCGGATTGCTTGTTTGAATGCGACAAAAATAACCCAGCTGAACAACCCGCTTTGTTGGCCTGCTTAACTGTCGCGTTCTGTTATCAGGTTACTTACCGTTCAGAATTTCCATATTATTCACTGCTCGGTTTTACTTGCTGACTTCAAGGCTAGGGACTGGTGAGATATAACTCGTTAGTTTGCGAGAACCTTACTATTCACGTCACTGTAGCATATTGTCAGCCACCGGGGCCTGCTTAACTCTCGACATGATTCTGTAAGGTTCCGCACTGATGTTCTGTCAGTACACAGCATTCCTTATGCGTCACTGACCTCCCTCTCAGTGCCTACAGGCTTTTCAGTGTCCAAAGAAGATGAACGCGCGATCGCTGGAACAGTAGGTGCACCAGTCTGAGCTTCCGGACTCCGGCAGGAGCCCATCGCCAGAGACTATGGGAGTGCAGCAAGTGAATACTTGTAGTCGAACAGGGGGAGGGGAGGCAAGGGCTGGTGTCCCTGAATGGGACGACCTCATGTCGCCTAACTCACAGTGTTCTCACGGTTTGGTGATGGTGTGCGCCCTTGACCGGGAAGTGGGCGGCGCCACCTAGTCGCGTTGACGTAGTGTGCTGACAAGGCTGATTTACCCACCGTTGCAGTGATCGCGCTCTCGTCTCCTTTGCAGCACCGACCCGGGACTGGCATATTTGCCTCGAGCCTTCTGTACTTCCAAGTAGGATTAACCCCTCTATGACGCATGTGGCCGCATACCTGGATCAGTGTAGCCTCGTCTACTTGGTGGATGTAGGTAATTTTAGCTTAAATTAGCGCGCTGATCGAAACACGACCATGTTAAACGGACCTTCGGCTGCCATAAACCCTGAGCATGGGCTGTAACGCCGATGAGGGACAACCGGTAACAGGAATGCGTTCCCAGACCCAGACCAACCAATATTTTTTTATCGTCTTTCGGTCAGATGTGGTTATGTAGCCCCACCTGAAGTGAACAAAACCCAGCCACCTGTAATGCGGCACCGGTGGTAATGGAGGTTTTTGCAGGTGGGGCCGGGGAGTGCACAGGCGACGAGGTCAAGTAGTTGTATGCACAAGAAAAGCTATTGGGAATGCGCGGTTGCACTTTGAGCGGTTGAAAAATAGTTGCTCTAGCCCCTAACCTCTAACCCCCAACTCTAGCCCCTAACCCTAACCGCAACCCTAACCCCAAACCATAACTTCTCACCCTTAACTCCAACCCCAACAGTATTGTGTCCATCAGGTGCGGCTACATAATCACATCTTACCGCGTTCCTGGTTCTGGATAAAGAGGCAGAGGGAAAGAGAGAAATACGCATTAGTTAAAAAATGCTCTTTCAAAATTTTCGGAAAAACGTTCTCCATTCTCCGTGGTCAGAATACAAATAAGCAAATGACGAGAAATTAAATAAATTTACATAAAAATGTACAACCAATATGGTGACAGGTCTGGTCTAGGTTTCTAAAATTGCAATCTCTTTATATGTAAGATGCCGTGCCAGAAACGATAATACGATAATGCAAGGGACGAGCAGGAAGCCATGGCGTTAAAAGACTTCGCAGCGATTCGGGGTGAAGGGGATGACCAACACCGAATTGTCTGATTATTGTGGATTGCCGTTTTATCAAGATATCACCCGAAAAAGACATGAGGAACACTGACAGTTGAAGTAGTTATCCGATGAGTACGCCCTAAAATAAACAGATATTTTCTAGATGCTTATAGATGTTTTGGCAGATTTCGAATAATTCATATTGACCCAACTGTGAAAAACTCGGCGCCTCGGTAGGAGTCGAACCCACACAGTAAGTGGAAGGCTTTAGTACAGCCAACGCTCTAACCACCTGAGCTACGAGGCCCCGCAGAACGACGCGAGTTTAATCACAATGGGCACGTGGTTCAGTAGTTAGAGACGTGGGACTTCTAACTGATAGGTCGCGAGTTCGAGCCCCAGGTGTTCCACACTTCGGGGTTGGGTATGACTGACTGACGACGACCGATAAGTCAGAAATGGCCACTTCAGCCTCCCTTGTCTTTGTCGGTAATAACATTCTACACTTTGGATTGATTTCTGATTATTAAGTGTAAGATCGTTTTCCAGTATCCATACACATACGCCGTACAGACCTTCCTTCGGAAGCTGGAACTGAGTTTGAGCCTTGATGGGGTGACTAACAATCATATCGTCGGCACGCAGCCATTCAGTTAGCGAGCTCAGACCACTTCTTCCGACCCTCCCACGGTCCACGAAACTGGTTTTCTGCCAGCCGATGTTGTTTTCCATGACCCAATTAGCTTCAATGAGTGACTTGGGTTCCCTACCACTAGGGACACCACGCTCAAGAGGACTTACATCGCAAAATACAGTGAAGTCGTTAAATTAAGTGAAAGGAAGGTTTGACAAAGGAGTGTGTAAAAGTTTAACCAAAACGAGCGGCGGCCCCGAAGACACATTTCGACATACAAACTGATGTGTATGTCTCATCTGGTTCTTAAAACAAAAAAAGAAATGGGGGAGGGGTAGGATTCCAAACCTATTGTCTGAAAGGGAGACCCTCGGTGGCACATACCGGATTTGATCTCAGTGAAGGTCAGTTAAAGACGTCGAAAATGTTAGAATACGGCTCCATGCAGGAGCAGCCGTGAAACCGGCGCAATTGCGTAACACCAACCTTATCTGCGGTAGAACTGGGCGTCGACATTCACCCTCCCAGCCGCCGAATGCGGTAGGCTATGGGTAACTGTTTAAGTATAGACCCCACACGGTATCGCCGCCGTCGAACTCAAAGAGGACGATCGCTGCCTCGAGGGAAAAGTATAAAACCGGGTGGCATCCACCTCATATCATGACAATGGCATGCGCTCTTACCGGGTCGTCGCCATGCCGATCACGTGACAGTCTTTTAGCCCAGGCGAACAGGGTTTCACTCAGTCAAATAAACCGTCCGTGAGGTTTGCTTTAAAGCCAAGCCATGGGTAAGCATGCACGACCAGCCCGGATGTGGATGTGCATAAATGGAGGTACAGTTCTCGACCTATCCGATGAAAGGTCACAAACTGCACACTAACCGCCCACCCCGCATCCACGAAAGTTATACTACGTTAAAGAATCGACCGAGCTTCAAAAGACGACACAGTTTGGTTTATACTGCATCGTTTATTAACTGTGAAAAAGCGCCAAATCGAAAGAAACGACCTTATGACAGGTCAACTTTCTAAGGCCTTGTCTAACTGCCAGCGGGGCAGGAAGATGCCACATAACGACAAAATGACGAAAACAATGGAAAATAAAACGTATTATTACCTTGCTGCTTGCCCGCTTGCTTTTAAAATTGACGCAAGTCAGGAGGACATTGAGACTACTAAGTCGTCTATGGTGGTTTGGCCTATAAAATTATTAAGCACAAAATCCACTTTTCGCTGCATTTAAAGACGTTTTCTTGCCTCGTCCCAATTTTTTTCATTAGGACAAAAAATATTTCAGTCGGGGTGAGGTCCGGGCTATCAGAGGGAATAAGAATACTTCGCAGACTGCAGGCGGAGAGACAGGTTGTGGCATAGAAAATTACATTATAGCCGTAAGTTGAATTGGAATCATATCTCCTTTGAGCGGTGAAAGGGGGCATTATCCTGCAATATTGTCGTGCTCGTTCGAAATCGATGAAGTTAGCGAAATAGCTTGAAACGCAGAAGAGATTCATCGGGAGACCTCTCGCAACAGACTGGAAGGCGATTAAAAAAGGCCCTTTTGGCTGAGAAAAAGTAAACGCGAGTCACATGGAATGGAACGTGAGGAGTTTTCGGTAGCGATAGGGTTTTTGACCTCCAAGTAGATGACAACCCAACAAATATACCCTTAAATTTATCGTGATTGCAAACATCACTTAGTATTCATCGTTCCCATTGTTTGAAACTTCCTTCCTTTGCTGACTAAATGTAAACCTACCAGCGGCGCCTTAATCAAAGTCCGTTTTTTCGAAAATTGCCCTTTGTTTATTTTTTAAATTATCGTGCCTACTATCCTTGCCAAATGACAGGGTGTGATAAGACTTCCGGCAGAATTTTGTCTATTTTCTGTGTCTTTTTGCTCTCCGTCCTGTGTGTTGCCCCACCCGCAAACCCCCTTTATCACCATTAAACTGATGACACGGCCAACAGGCTAGCTCAAGTTAGTTGGGGGTCCTACACCCCATGGTTGCCGAGTTTTCTTGTGCCGAGGACGCCGAGGCCAAGTAAGAGAGCGTTGGTCGCGTTTGCAAGGCGTGTTTGCTGGATCACGGCTAGTACAGAGTTAATAATAGTAATAATTGTTTTGTTGAACATTTTTATGGGTACTGTTGATGAAAATTTCGAAACGCATGAGCAAACATGTACAGTGGTCAGTACGTGTTTATAATAATGACCACTGACGAAGTAGAAATCCGCCAACCGGTGTCGCCAAGGAGAGATGAAGATGGCAAATATGAGGATAACTATTTGGGTAATTTGCCGAAAAGGGTAGAAAGATTAATTTGACCAGTGGGATTTTAAGAGAACAAAACTGCCGCTTTTGAGAAATATGCGTGTGGGAGAGGATAGTTCTGCTGGTGAGAGTTCACTACGGTTCAAGACCTTCCATGTCAAGGGAGGGATTCGTAAAGCCGAAGAGGCTGTTCGCTGCGAATGCGATCATACTACTTTTGGGATGACAGCAGAAACAACCGTCAAGGAGGCGAGACAGGAGGAACCCATCGCGATCGATCACAGTCCGCCTAGAATCCAGGCGGGGAGAGGACATTAAAGGCTTTGAGGGTTATTAAAGTGCAGGAAGATGCGACCGTGATACTTCTTTGATGACCAACTAAACTACTATCAGGTGGAGAAAACAGAGTTTCTTCAACAGATCACTTGGGGCCTAAATGAGGAAACGAGATTAACATCCGCGAAAATCATGGCTGCAGAGGAGAGGGGGGTAATGGCAATGGATTTAACAGCAAATTAAAAACAGGGGGTTGTGAAAATCTGAATGAAAGTTTCCAGTTAACTAAGTTAGGCATGCATTATCTGCCATTAAATCCATAACGCAGTAGATGCGATCATACTACATTTTAGCGGACTGCGGAAAAAACCGTCATGGTGATGAGACGGAAGAACCCACCACGATCGTCAACATTTCCCTTAGGGACGCATCGGAAGGGGAGAAGATTCAAGGCTGCGAAGTCCATCGCTGTAGGGGACGATGTCAGTGGATTAAGCAACCTATTAACAGTATGCGACCCGTTAGAATAAAATGAGAGTTTCCAACCGAATAAGTAAAGTCTTCAAGATCTACCGCCAAATTAAAAAAGAACCTTTTTAAAAGTCCAGAAGTTGATTGTTTCGGAATGAAACGTGCAATGATGACTTTATATCTTTGGAGCTAGGATGCTTCCATAACTCCGGTCTGGATATGGATAATCTAGGTGACGACCTAGATTCAAATGAAAAATTATTCCAAAGGAAAGCATATTTTGAGAAAAAAAGCAAACGCTTGAGAGCAGAGTAGGGAGGCGGTGAAACGACTATGGAGGAATTACGAGCGACATAGAGTGGATCTACTGGAGTGAGAACGCAAACGCGTGAAAGGTTAGGGCTAGAATTTATGCGAAACAGGAAGAAAAGGCCGGCCTCGAGCCTTCTAACTCACAAGAATTTAGCGTTCGTCAACTAACATCTCCCAGTGTAAGAAATACTGGATCCAGAAAGAGAGGAGAGTCATCGAGTAAAAATTCTCTGAATGCTTTTGATTTTACCATGGGTCGCGGGCATTAATCAGGCCAAAGAAAGGTAAGCAATATTCGACGATGGGAAAGACACATACGTGACAAAGTCTTACGTATATTTCGAGGAAAAAGAATTTTTCTATATGAAAGCATATATCTGCACGGCCTTCTCAGACGTTCTATCTGAATGAGGTGATAATGCTAACTAATTCGTATGACTTAGACGTAGATCCCTTATGGTAGAGCGTTCTGACAGAGGTTTATTTTGCAAAAATATGAGATCGGAAAGCCTTGAGTGGGCTTTTTCAAGGCAAATATTTATGCAGCCCTTAGAAAGTGGATAGGCTCACTAAAGGTCGTCAGTGCAAAAAAACGTTTGCAAATTACCGATTACTGTTGAAATGTCGTTAATGCAAAGGAGAAAGGGCAGCAGACTCCGAACCGCTCCTTGAGGTACGCCACTAGTGATTGGGTGAGATGTTGAGTAGCAATTACCAACCATAACCTTCTAAAAGCGGTTGGATAAATAGGACATTCAGATTTGCTGAACGATGAAGGCTTTAATAAGATCAAAAAAGATAACAAAATTGACTGATTTTCACTAAAAAGACAAGTGATAAGGTTAAGCGGTGCTAAATGACAAATTTTGCAAAAGTTTTTAGGTAAAAATCCATGTTGAGTAGAGTTCACAAGCTGATTGACCGGACAGAAATCAAGGACTTCACAAAAAATTATCTTTTCGGGAGAGGTGGTGAGCTGCAGGTACTCCTCCTCCTCCTCCTCCTCCTCCTCCTCCTCCTCCTCCTCCAACACACTTGCTTCTTCGACCATCACTCGGATTGTCATGAAGTTATATTTGATCTGACTGTTAGATCGAGATCCGCCACCTGACCAAAACTCCCCCAGCCCCCAACACCAATCCAACGTCATTGTTGACCGCTGATCAGGAGCCTGGTAGCTCAGGTGGCTAGAGCGCTGGCTGTGCTAAAGCCAACCATTTGCTGTCATGGGTTCGAATCCCACTGAAGCGCGGAGTTTTTTTCAAAATGAATTCATTGACATTTTGGAAGATTTTGAATAATTCATATTGACCCAACTGTGAAAAACTCGGCGCCTCGGTGGGATTCGAACCCACGCAGTAAGGGGAAGGCTTTAGCGCCACCAACGCTCTAACCACCTGAGCTACGAGGCCCCGCCGGACGACGCGAGTTTAATCACACTTGGGTCAAGTTACCCGCCCAACCTACTGCAACGTCTGGAATCCACCAAATCTAATACAGTAAGTTGACTGCCCAAGCAGGATTTCCTAAGTAATTCACCTAAAATCCACCAGATGATTACCAGGCTCGCGTAATTCATTGACATTTTGGCAGATTTTGAATAATTCATATTGAATTATTAAAAATCTGCCAAAACATCAATGCTGGCAGGATGCCAGTCTAACCGACACCCCATGTTGCCATTTCAAATCAACGTGCACATTTCTAAACTGCCCATTTCCTACCAAGCCCCTAATTGTTAGGGGTTTGAACCTTGCCCGTATTGTGATTGCATATTGCACCATATCAGTGGAAGTAAGTCCTCACTATGTCACCGCATGAATTCTCAACGATTCCTTTTTCTGCGGCTTTATAGCGCGTGCTGCCATAAGGAAAATTAATTGGGCTGAAATGTTTTCAGATGTAGCAATTTCGAGAGAGATGGCCAAAAGTAGGCTGAGCCACTGTTGTTCAAGAAACTGAATACACCTAAGGCGGTCTTGAAAGTATCATTTCCTAGGTCGATAACCAAATATAGACGTCTACCCATCGAAAGAAAGTGACGACCATGTAAGCATGCATTTCAGGGCAGGGGAGCGATGATCGTATTTCAGTCTTGTCGAGCCGAATGATGGGGATGCCGTGCTGAGGCCGCACGGAGGACTGAACATGAGTGTCTCTCTGGTGCTTTTTTTCAGCATCACAGTCGTTGAGGCATGCAACCTAAGGCTGGACGCTGATAAGGTACTGAAAGAGGTCTTCTAAGACAAAACGAAGACAAAAGACAGAGGTGTTGCGACGTCTGGGAAATCTATTCTAACCCTGCTTTGAATTCTCACGGATCCGGCCTCTCCCACTTCATAAGGCAACATCAAAGTTCTCACCGAAGGGGCTGCGGCGAAATCGGAATGACACCAAGTTTGTGCTGAATTCATTAGCAGCTACGAGTCCGCATCCGGCCTCTTTGCCGTCACTTACTCGTTTCTTATCGTCCGAGGCAGCCCCCCCGGATGCCAGGCATATCTCCCACACCTACAAGCGCGCGTGCATACCGCGCTCTTTGTTTTGTCATCTCACGTGTGCGGGTTGCTATTGGCACCGGAGACTTGCCTCGCTGTGTGCTCGATGCGTGGGTGAATACAAACTTCCAGATCGGTCGAGTCCCAGCAACACACACCTCAAGACTAAGCAACAGTGAGAGGCGGCGCTTGTGTGTCGCACCTGACAGTTCGATCGTAAAAGTGCCCCGCGGAGCGGACGCATTACCAGTTACTTGCGCGTGAAAGAGTTTCCAGCGAAGCAGACTTGTGAAGCATCTACCTCGCCAACCTTGCTCCGGTAGCAAGGAAATACCATGATGGTCGACGATGATGTGGGCGCAGTGATTAGCAAATCTATTCAGCCCGCCTAAGCGTGCCGCACACGACCTGGTCCCACTATATGCACCGGGCAGCAATAAGAACGGTTCGAAGCTCACATAAATGAGAATGCGATAAAGGCCACCTTAGGGAACCATTGCAGCCCGTCCTCGGTCCTGGGAGAACCAAATCACCTCAGCTGGCAACCTTCCAAACCACGGTTCTTAACAGTCGTGACAGATTCCGGCGTTTCAAATTTACTACAATGAGGGATTCATGAGGATTGATCCCACCACTGAGGGTCTAACTTCCTCCTTCCTCTCCCATGCAACAGTTGACTGACTGCCATTTTGGTTTTTGCCTCTCACCTACTCGACCGCAGACGCCTACAGCCTCACTGGCAAGCCCCTCAGCTGCTTTTACGCCTTCTACTAGGGTGTCAGAACAGGTGGCAGCTAAGGTGCGGGCAGATTGATTCAACACAAATCCATTCGTATCTCTGCTATTATATCTTAACTAAGTTCCGAATGGAAAGTGATTTCCTCTTCACCACCTCTTCCACCCATTCGGAGCTCGTTTGCTTCAAGAGGCCTTTTTGCCTTTTAATTTGAGAACTCAGTGATGACGACCGTGGCGCACTGCACACACAACGCAACTACATCCTTTGCATTTATATGGCAGTCGGAGGGAGCTCAACATTTCTCCATAGAGGACGCAGTCTCTACGCTCATCATGTGCTGGGTGGGTAGACATGCGATGACTAGATACTTGTTTACGTCGGTTGGCCAGTAAACAAGCTGGCAGTAGGAGCCTGGACGCATAAAAACGCGACGGAGGATGGGGTGAGCGAGGCATTTCATGCTCTATGATATTCCAACTGGCTCAACTTCTCTCGGAAGCCTGCCGTCCACTGACTGCAGTGGAGGGTAATCACTCACGACGCGGTGGATCTGCAGTTGTCCGTGAAACGGTAGATGTGCGGAACCAGCACGGGGGGGATAGATCAGATTCCGGCAGGTTTTATCGGGAATGCGCATCCATAACAAAAGCTAACATTCGGGGTGGAGCCGGCAGGCTCAGGCTGCGCCAAATGGGATCAAAGCCGCCTCCCTCCATATTTGTTGTTGCATAAAATACCGCTCAACTGTTCGTTATGGACCAGGGGATGAGGTGGTACGCCAAGTGCGGGTTTTCGTCGTGCCAGCCGCTTACGGCCTCTCCGGCCTGTAGCCCTCTTGACTCTATCCTCCTGACACCGGGCCCAGATGGGAGAGGAGAGGGTGTGTTGTTGTGCAAGTCCACTATCGCTATAAAGTAATTTACGCGCAAATCCCCGTCCCTGCTCTCACCCTGTTGTGAAGCACGCGGCGGAAATCGTCAAAACAAACGGTCGAACTGTCCGGTGAATGTTATTGCCAACAAAGACAAGACAGACTGGGATGGCCACTTCTGGCTTATTAGTCCTCGTCAGTCAGTCATACCCAACCCCGAAGTGTGGAACACTCGAGGCTCGAACTCACGACCTGCTAGTTAGAAGTCCAACGCCTCTAACCACTGGGCCACGAGCCCGTTGCCCTGTCGGCTTTGATCAGGCATATACAATGGTAGGGAGCGCTCACCGATCGGGAACATACTGCCTATATCATGCGCCCCTGTGTGGCTGCTGGTTGGACTCGAGAGAGAGAGAGAGCCCGTAAGGCACAAGGGAACGAGCGAGTTCCGTAACAACGATCGCTGAGCGCGCCCTACCATTGTCCGGTGAATCTCCAACACGGAGCCGGCTGGACCAAACATTAGGATACCATCTCCAGCGCAAGTAAACTAGACTTTCGCGTTTTGTATCTAAGCGACCTTCCATAATATTGCGAAAACGGGATCTATTAAGACAACAAGGCGAGCGAACACCGTCTTGTAAGGCGAAAATGAAGGTGGGGGTTTTGGAGGGAAAGTGAAAGAAGGGGCCACATAAAAAGACAGCGTTGACATAACATCTCCAGCACCAGGCTGCTAGAACGAGAAGCACAGACGTGGCCTGGCATGGACCACTCATATCTCACTTAGTGAGAAGACGCCGGGAATGAAAATCTTCGTGGAAGACAAGGCAGTGTGCGACATTAGATCCAATCTAGGATTCCTTGACATGATATCACGCCGTGCATCCAAGTCAACTGTACAGGTTGCTGACAAGTCAAAAAGAAAAGCACACGCACGAGTCCTCCATCCGCCTCGGAGGATGGACAAATAGGTTAGGGATAGGCAATTCGGCTGACAGCTTTCTACTGACACCAAGGACTGCATGGAACCTCATAAAACGATTGAATGCAGCGGCAGAATGGGTTCGTCTACACGGAATGGGTATCTCAGGATGGATGAGGGCTGATGTGGGATGGGGGGATGGAGAGGTGTGTGGAGACTAGGAATGAGTGTGATCGCCAGGGGGACCGTTATTTGGTAGGGGTTCCGGATGTGGACCGCTGTTAGCGTTTGCCGGATCGACAGTGGAGCCTCCCTCCTCGTGGTCGCGGTGTTGCTGCTTGGCGAGTTTCTTTGTGTAACAGTGACGCGTGTGACCGCGGCAGTGTTCAGTACATTTCTTGGGTCGTGGATCATCGCCATCACTGTCGTCGGAGGAAGAGGATGAGGAGGATGGATCATCAAAGTTTCGGGGTTTCTCGTAGATGCAACAACATTTGGACTTTTTCTTCCCCATAAACTCGTTGTCCACTGTGTCCGGCGACCAGTGAATCACATGCGGACGACTGGAAGAGGGCGAAGAATCGGGATTCGTCAGACGTAGAACAAGTGGCTGAAGAGAAGAAGGACATAAATCGTGCTTTTAAAGGGCAGAGGACTTGGCGTAAGTCATATCATGATGGGCTTTCAAGAATATCAGACACATGAGACTAACGTGATATACAGTAGATGTGTTGCCTCATAAACTGTTAACGGAAATTCTGAACTGTCTTCGATTCGAAAAGATCATGTAAGTAGGCTTGTGATATTAATGATCGTACAGCACAATCCTACAGTACTCCAGTCACATCGGGATGTCGGCTTATAAACGAGCTCCTTTTCGGCTCTTTGCAAAAGCTACACTCTGTATAGAAATGACTTGATAATTAGTATGATTTTTTCATAGATGCTCGATGCCCTTATAAATTCAATTATTTGGTCTTCTTTGAGATTTCTACCTGAAGAGAGGGCAACATTTTCAATTCACGAGCAATTTTTTTGCCCCATCTGCCGTTACATCGGCATTTAGGGTTTCAAAACTAAATGCTGCATACATTCCGTCAAAGGAATATCGTATACTTGTCTATGCTGTTGGGAAGACATCATATAGCACTCATAAGATTGTCAAATGAGTGTGGACCAGATTGTATACCGTCTAAGTAGCATTAATAAGTGTGCTGGTGCGATGCTATATGGCTGAACATTGGACGGTCTTAGGTCTCATAATCAGAAAATTTTTTAAAACCGGAAAAAAATAAATATAATAATATAAATAATAAAAAGTAGTAAAATAAAAATAATATAATAAATATAAATAAATAATATAATAAATATATAAATAATACTTTTTGCCCGTTTTCTATAAAATATAATTGAATTTTTAGAAGGGCTTTGAAAATCAGTGGAAGAATTCATACTACTCAGATAGTCCCTTTTTGGCTGTCGTAGTTTCTGCAGACGGCCGAAAAGAAGCTCATTCAGAAGCCGGCATCCTGGTGTGACTGAAATACTGTAAGATTAGAGACGCTCTGGCAGATTGCAAGTAATTTACTTTGATCCAACTGCGAAAAAGTCGCTGCCTCGGTGGGATTCGAACCCACAACAGCAAGGGGAGGCTTTAGTACAGCCAACGCCCTAACCATCTGAACTACGAGGCCTCACTGGACGACGCGAGTTAAATCATATTTGGGTCAAGTTGGCTGTACTAAAACCTGCCCTTGCTGTCGTTGGTTCGAATCCCGCTGAGGCACCGAGTTTTTTCACAGTTGGATCAAAGTGAAGTGTAAGATTACGCTGCACGACCATTAGTATCACAACCCCACTTAGACAACCTCGAATTGAAGACATATTTCATAAGGTGGCACACCTACTGTACAGTTGGGGGGAAGGGGGAAAGGAGATGAGGACGTCCGAGTTGGTTCGCGGATGGGTAAGGCCGCTAAAAACGAATACCTAAGTAGCAAGCGTTTACTCATTTGTTTTCGATGTTTTTAATGAATACATAAACAGTTTATAGACAACATGCACAAAAGCATCCCTCCTTTCACTCATTTTGAAACAAATCACACCTAATTCAAATTTCACACTCAAAGAAAGCGGATCCATCGGTTTGGATAAGTTCGCAATTTGGGAACTTCTAAGACCGTAAAACGTCCTTCCAAATGGCTTCTTATCTGTCCCTTTATCAGAGCTCCTTGTGGTTGCACAATCTTACGATGTCTGCGTTGTACCTTCTTGGTAACATGGTTTCGTTAAAGAGGAAGCGTAAAGTTTGTAGGCATGGGACCCTAAACGCAAGTGATACGGCAGGTCGGCTACAAAATTAATCGAGAACTGAAAAGAACCCACCACCTTCGGGCAGAAAATTTAGTGACATAATTTTTTACAAGATGAGCACATGGGGGGGGGATGTGTTCGTGTCCGCGTCCTGTAAAATATGCTCAGAAATCGAAAATAAAAGGGAGAGAATTTGCACTACTGTGAAGGTGACGCTCATTCGAAAGTCAGCACCTCGACGTAAGTGAAACATCTTATCTCGATATCATGGCCCCAGATAATTAGCCGTAGTCAAATTTCAGAATTTTGACTGATATTTCACGAGAAACGCCACCTACTGCAACTGTCAAAAGACATACTACCGGAAAACCACGGATGTATTAACTGTCCGAAAACCTTTCCGCCTGGACCTACCGTCCATTCCCGACCACTAAACTGTATGATGAAAGGGACCAGCACTTTAAATGGCTTTCTGGATTTGTCTGGCGTGTTCCTGAGCGCGCTTGTGTGTGTGTGTGTGTGTTTGCGTGCGTGCGTGCGTGCGTGCGTGCGCGCGTGCGTTACTTTGACTGATGGCAATTGTCTTAGCGACAGGCAGTGATACTGGTAGCTCTCCAGGGGCGTTGGAGGAACCTAGTTGGACTTCGGAGACAGTTATTCAGCCTGACAGCCTATCAACCTCTCTCTAGATGATTGTAAGGCTATTTAAGGTAGATATCGGCGCAGTTCTCCCTAAGTCTACCATGGTCAACCTAATCTGATCCTCCGCAGCGACATTGTCGGTTTATCGTGCTGGCATCATAAAATCAGGTCTCAAGTGTCAGTCGCTTGACCTTCGGCCTGACCTCCCGCGGAGAATGATGGCCCCCTTGATGTCTAAAGCGCATGCGGCCCGTCAAGCATGCATTGCCATTTGAAAGTTAGGGTGCAGCCCCTGTGTCTCGAACGAGTTTATGATATCTGTCCGCTTTCCACAACGTCGTTGCAGCCGCCATCATAGCAAAGACACTTCTAGACAACTACTGCGGATTCAGCTAGCAATAGCTTCAATCCAAGCGGTTGACACATCGACCTGCCCCTGGGTTGCCAGATTTTGTACTAACGTTTCTACAGACACCACGACCAGGTGGCTGGTTTGTTTACGGAGAAAAAAACACTGAGCCAAGAGAAGGGATGATCAGGGAGCCTCAGCTAAAAAGAAAACTAGCTGTCACCCAGACAGAAGGTTTGGACAGCTGTCACTAGCTTTCCAATTGATGAGGTAAGTCATTTCCTCATCAGTTAAGCAGCAGCAGTCAAATATGATCAATCTGCGGGAAAAGTTCTGCTTGGTGCTGATGAGCAATTATCTCATCGAAGGTGGACAATAGGTACCGCCATACTTTTAATTCCGATGACGCCAGGGTCGCTGTGTTCTTATGGTTAGCACAAGACAATTACGGTCCTCAAACGGTGCTCAATGGATGGAGTCGAGACGGACAGTGATCATTGTTCAGAGCTCACGATGGTTAAAGCGCGACTGATTCTGAGCCTTAAGGGTTATAAGAAAGCCCTTCCGCCTGAAAAGTTCGATAGTCAGGAGATTCGTCTCAATGAAACAGTCAACAGTCCCCACCAGGACGTTAGCAACCACCCTGCTTTGTTGGAAAACCATGACGTTCAAATGCCTTACTTGAATGATGAAGTGGTCTTATTAGGTGGCGCAATCGTTGAGGCTTAGTTACGCACCTAGGTCGAAGAAAGCGCAGAACCAAAGACCAGATATCAACCAACACTGTTTAGTTTGCGGGTGACTTGCAGCGTGCCCGAATCGCTGCGGATAAAACTTTAGGACACTGCGCTATCAGACAACACGGTCAGTAAGAGTCGTACTCCCGGACTGCTTGTTGCTTTGAAGAGTATCAACTCACTTGATCACGTTGTAACACTTGAGTAGAGCGATTGAATAGTCCTCGAAAAGGCAATGGAGGCTGACCGTATTCTTCGTTTTTTGAAAACCGCAAATCTTATCAAGGCACACTATCAACTTAGGCCAACAAAAGCTCAAGCATGTGGGGAGTACCCTTCCAACATTGACACCGGACAAAGTTGTGTGACACCGCAAGTTCACCTCAACTCTGGGATTAATCCGGCTCTATAAAAAGCACTCTATGCTCAGGAGAGCGTCGAGGCAGAGCGATATCCACTTGTCTCGGGCCTTGGTTGTGTCGATGACACCGCGCGGTCCTCGTCTATTATACATTCAACCCGAAATTAAACTGCGGGAAAGCAAAAATGCTGCTCAACGGTTCTGCACCGCAGTCTCCCATTTATTGGATGAGGAAGGACTCAAGTTGATCGGGTGCTCTGTCAACCTCGGTGGAGATAGGGCAATGTCAGGTGACAAACTCCCAGGGATAACACGTCATACAGACTCTGGAAGTGTCTATGAGCCCATCTTGAGGTTCAGCCGAAGACGAAGATTTTACTGCATGAAGCGACGACAAAAGTCGTCCAAGTCTAGGACTGCGGAACGTGGCCTAAATGCGTTGTTGGTCTGGGGGAAGATTGAGGGCTTCGACGACTGGTGCCTTGAGTGATCAGTCAAATCCTGAGTGTTGCATTTCACCGCTGATCGAAGGCGTCCTCTTCTGGCGATGCAATAAAGAGCCACTGTCTCAAAGATTTAGAAACGCACTACAGCGACACGATTAGGAGCTCATTCAAACCCCCTGTCGCAGGTGACGCTACCGCCAAGTAAAGAAGTGGGTCGATGAGCTTAGGTCGGACCGACAGAGGATACTGAGCCATAAGATTTTCAGTGTTCAGGACGTCAATCGTAGCATGTAGGCGGTACCTGTTTGTGATACACCCATCTTGGAGCCGATTAAGCCAGCACTGATGCCGTTGGTTCGACGTCCCAAGCGACGAGGTTCACCATTGTCAGTTGGATGCAGAATGGACTATGGCGAAGGCTTGCTCATGGTGAGACAGACTTTCGAAGCATTTATCTCACTACCCGTTCCCACACAGTATTCCAACGGCGAAACGGAGTTAGGAGGCGGGTGTGGGTAAGGATTAAATCACACCTATAGTTAATGACCGATCTCATGAAGTGTTAACTGAAATTCTGAAAAGCATTTTCAATCAGAAAGGATTACTTAAGCGAAATTTTAATACTGATTATTTGGCGGCATAATCCAGTGGTATTTCAGACACGCCAGGATGCTGTCCTTATAAATGCGTTGGACCAACACATGGGCTAGATCGGAGTCCAGTAGGCGTTTCGGGAATGTGAACCATAACAAACTCCAACATTTGGGGGTGTGGCGGCGAACCCAGTTGCAGGCTCACGCCGCGCAGATTGGGAGTTGTGCCGCACCCACCTTTGATGTGTAAAAATCCTGGTCAAGTGATAATTGTGGGCTAGTGGGTGTGGTGATACACCTAGGTGCGGATCTACGCCGTGTCAGCCCCCTGCGTCCTCCCCTGCTTCCGGTCTTCTTGGCTCGGTCATGACACCGGGCCCGGGTGGGAGAAGAGGGGAGAATGCGGCAGATTCTTCGCAAGTCTCCTATCACTTACTATTTTGTGGAGCACACGGTGTACATCATAAAAATCGACGGTCGAGCTGTCATAAACGCAAGTATATCCCGTAGAAAAAAAGGACAAAAATAACCTTCCTCGTATTCATTTCACGTCTTTTTCAAATTGGTTTAAAAAAGTTCCAAATTATGCGATTATTTACGACCCTGAAATGTCCATTCAGATAGCATCGTATCTGTCTGTTTAGTAATGGTCCTCATACACGCGTTGCAAAATTCTGTGAGCCTGATATGGTACCTTTTTAACGGCTTAGGGGATTGTGTTTTTCCCTACACGGACAGTATACAGATTGTAGACTGAAAACTCTGGACGTAAATGCAATTGCAAACTAGGCTCAAAATAATTCGGGAACTGAAGAACGTTTTTAAAACCGAAAGGTACCTTTTCTTTTAATATTAAATTTGAAGAAGACCTGATTGGCCACTAAATGAATACAAGAAAGGATATTCTTGTGTACTTTTTCTACAAAAAATATCCGCATTTATAAGGGCCTCGAAATGCACACCACTTAAGTAGTCATTTTTTTTACCGAGTGCGGTTTTCTCCGGGTGGCGAGAAAGAAGTGCATTCAAGAGCCACCAGCCCGGCGTGTCTGAAATGTTCTGACATTATGTCGCATGATAATCAATATGACAACCCCACATAAGCAATCGTTCTCAATTAAAAACACATTTACGAAATCCGGCTAACATTTCATGAGACCGGTTACTGTACGCATGTTGGTCCCCGACCCCCCATAAACAAGTTTTCAATGAGGAGGGTTACAGATTTCTCATCAAAGAGGATCACCAAAAAACTTAAATAAGAGGGAGCCATTGCAGTCGGACTCAGACCCGAGTAGGACGAAACTGTCTCATAGATTGAAAACCTTATAGGCTATAACCATTGGTCCTTGGTGATATTTTAAGGACGAATTACGAAAAATAGACGTTTGATTCGGGCTAGATCGACCTAACCACTCTTCTTCCGCCCATATGGCAGTGGCAGGCGTTGTGCGCGATTGACGGTGTGAAGAAAAGTTGCTAACGCATCCAAAAAACGGGCCGGAGCCCAGGTAAGTGAGAAGTACTGCAAAGGCCGAATTAAGAGAGAGAGAGAGCCATCGCAACCTGGCGTTTGTTTTACAGGAGAACCGAGTTAACCAGCCAGTTGGCCACCCTAAATGCCGCAACTTGCATACGCAAGTTCCGAAAACTTGACAGGGGGAAAATCCTACGACTTTTAAAAGCTCTGCTGTGTTATGCAAGATTGTGTGGGTCCTGGGGAGTGGTTTAAAAAACCGGCTACAAAACAAATGATAACTAACCAAGGAAATAGATACCAACAGGTCTGAGCACAAATACGAAGTCCAAACGAAATGGGTAAGGAAAGCGGGAGGAAGAAGGAATAAGGCATGGGACAAGTAAAACTCAAACAGGAACGATTCAAACACTAAATGTTGACTTGCGTCTGCTAATTTATCTTTATCAGGATAAGAAATTGGTGCCGACACGTGTCTTAAGCGCCACGTGCTACGTGTCACAAAATTCTACACATGACCTCCAAAAGCGCGATGACTGACGTACTCACGCCAGAACCAAGTAAAGCAAGGCAAATATCCTGTGAAACCAACCCGAAAAGTTACTCAAGAGGCCCAAATCCGGGTAGAAAATGCGAGCTTTAATTAAGAGCAAACAGACGAACACAGAAGTATCTCTGTTGCGTGGCCAGGTCATTACGCAGTGATCATATCTCCAAACAACGGATAAGACGGTGATTGTTCGCTCAAGGAAAACAAAGCATTGCGGAAAACCTGCATAATCTGTAAGTGGTACGAAATATAATAGGGAATATTTTTTAAGAAGTACAACTGCTGCATGTGTAATGGGAAATCCAAGTCAGGATGCAAAAAGAAAAGTTGACGCAACGAAATGTCAAAATATTTAAGAAGATGAGTAAAAAGAGCTCACAGGATGAGGGGAATCCTCAGATGTGACTGTCGTCGGGGCCTCAGAAGAGGCCATACGTTCCGCCATCTTCGACAGCAGCAGAGACAAGGGAACAGTTAACCCCCAAGAAGAAACAGTGACCGTCAACAACCAAACAGCCAAAAAACCAACCGGGGATGCCAATAGATCTTATAAACCAATGAGAGTTCGCGCGCACTGCTAAAGCTAGAGATGAATTGATGAATATTCGAAGGCTTGAATAATCCAGTGGAGTTTGACAGGAGTCTAATGGGTTTCTGTGTTCAACGAGACATTGAGAATTCTAAAACAAAACATAACACATTTAACTCTTCAGCGTATACTTGTTTGGAGCTTATAATTACGTCTATACGAGGCTGCTCACGAAGGACGGTTGGTGTTGTGACAGAAAATATGGGCATGCGGTAATCAAAATTATAGCCCCCAAAAACAGATTTAATCATCGCAGTAGTAGCCGAAAAGACATAAAAGCATATCGGAGAATTTAAAGACTCCAGCTCGAGTCTTCAGCAGCGCCCACTGACCTACTCAGCTGTCGAGGAGTACCATTTATAACGCCCATTCACTCGGAGGAAGCCCCCTCTTTATTGGCACGTATTCGCTTACCCACTCCTTTATATCCATCATTTTATGTAGTAGCACAAGTAACCTATTTGTATTTCGCAAATGGACACAATTTGCATTTTTATGGAATAGCATTAGCAAAATTTGGGGCACTCGTTCCTATTAAATTTCTTAGTTCTGCTTTTATAATTGGCTTGCTTTGTGAACATGCATGTAATTCTACTTAGTTGGATTGAAACCCGTGGGTTATGTGGGTAGTGGTTATGAAATTGGTGTATTCCGGGCATCTGAGCAGCACAATGTAAAAAATCGATGGGTAAATAAAATCTTTCCACATACTCGCAGATGAACTTAGGTGGATCTGTAGCGGAACTTTGTTGCCTTTCTGTTTATACAGAACTTTTTTCAGTTATTCTGTTTGTTGGGCATTTCTCAGAAGATCTAATTTCGACAAGAAAGTCTTAAGAATATTGTATGGGAAAGTCATAAATGTTCTGAACTTACTGCTCTGGAGGAAACCAATAATACTGAGTATCGTGAACGACCAGATTATAAAAAAGTACGCTCCTATCGGCCTTACTGACCACAGGAAGTAACGGCCAGCACACTGACGTCCAGTTCGATCAAACTGCAATAGACTCGTAAGAACCCGATGGACCCGAAAACTCACACGAAATATCTTTCAACTCCAACCCAAAAATCGTTCGGGAGTCTGCGCGGGCTAAGCTCCGCTTTCTTCATGCAGTTGCTCACAGCCTGTTCCAGAAGCTAGATGAGCTGAAAGTGTGGATATCAGACACGCAGCCGGATGGCATTTCTATCACAAAGACATGATTCCAGGCTAAAATCTTGGATGCTACAATTTTACTAGATGGTCGCTGTATATACCAGATAGAGGGTTCTGTCTCCTCTTTCGCATCACTCATAGTTCAAAACCTACCCGATTTTCAGCACTTACCCCTAGTAGTTGCCTATATAATCTTCGCAACTCTTCCCTGATTATACCCCCTTCCGCTTCCTCTACCTCTAAAAGTTCTCTTTTTTTGCTACACGATATACTTTCCTCCTGTAATAACCTCCCAAAAATATAAGATTCTTGGATAATCTACACACTTTTAAAAGAAGGCTGCGTCTTTATCTGAATACTGACTCTTATAAACTTTTATTTTCCTCACCTTCTCGGGCAACTTTCTCTATGGCACCGAGAACAGGCCATCGGGAATTCAGGACGCCGCTACCAAATGACCGTATCCGCCAAAATTTCCTTTTTAGTGTCTATTATCGCTTCCTAGGATCCCTCATCACAAATGTTGATTTTTTTCGACTTTTCTGCTCATGCATCGTGTCCCTCACACAATGCACTCTATCGACACACCTGTATAACCCTCTGTATTCGCAAAATACTAGTAGTCTGCTAGCGTCTAACTTGCCCCCTCGTCGGCTGTACTCGAAGCTGACTTTAGCCGATCGCATCTGGGTTCAAATCGCCTTGAGACTGGTTTTCTATTCGTCACTTTCACATGAATGGCCTCATCCGGCATATGAATTCTGCTTTGATGATGTCCGTTTCGAAATTTTTTCTCAATATCACATAAAGACCAGTCCTTCCTAACCTGCCTACTTATCACTTCATGAAATTCGTTGTTAACTGCCACATTCAGGCCGGTCCTGCTTGCTTTTTTACATCCATGAGCGGTATTTTTTCTCTTTAGTGTTAATCCGGCCGAACTCCTTTTGTTCAAAGGTTAGGAGTTTTTTCACTGATCGCTCATCATTCTTCGTAATATATTACTTATTCAATAACTATGAATTAAGCATTGTATAGATTCTGTATACCTGTTCTATAATTCATGTAAAAAGTTATTCTTAATTGCTATAAGCGGACGTCCACGGCTGTTGAATAAAATTCTAATTATTATTACCATTAATACCAACTTTTTCGCGGAGACAGACTGCATAAAAAGGAGGGGGACTAGCGATCTACCTCAAGAGGGGAATCATTGCGGCGAAACGCAAAACAGACTGCTCCCCTGACTAAAGCAATATGGTTAGAACTAAGGATGCATGGCGCAACTAGTCTGAGTTTCCTGGCTGCTCAGTCAAACTCCCGAGGTCGTCGAGCGATGTTTGGGTTAATTAAAGAGATAACACAAAACCAAGAGGCACTGATAACCGGAGATCTCAACGCTCTGATGGTCGACTGGAACAATTTACTAGAATATGGTTAGCGAAATTCCTTTGATTTTAGGCTCTTTAAACTAACGGCTAATCTTCTTCTGGTACAGAAGGTCATGTTTCCAACCAGAATCAGAGAGGTCCAAAGAGCAAATTGTCTAGATCTCGTCCTTACAAAAGACCCAATTAGTCCTGGAGAAATTAGGTCCATAACATCCCTCGGTAAGAATGGCCAAGCCATGCTGTTTTGGGAACACTGCCTATGCAGTCGACAAATGGATACGACTGAACATCAGCTGAATTTCTGGCGAGGAAATTTTGCCGCTATGAGAAGTGATTTATCGGTAGTGAACTAGCATGACGTTTTTGCCGGGCATTCAGATGCTGACTGTGATATTATGCACCGGAACCATATGACGAAGAAGGTCCAAAAGACTTATCGCCCTGCCTGGCTAATGCAAGGTATAAAGAAAGAGGCAAACCGGGAGAATAAACTATTTAGAAGGTAAGCAGTAACGAAGGAACCTTCCCATTATGAGCGCTTTCACAGAAAGCGAGACGAGGTAAGGTCGAATATCCACAAGCCGCAGATGCATTATGAACGCGAGTTATGGAAAGAGCCGTCGATAAGCCAAAAGTACTTTTCAGTTACATCAACAGCAGGTTAAAAAACAAGGAGACGGTCTCGGTGTTGAAAGTAGAAAACAATGAGAATATCATCAGACACGACCTCGAGGCAGATCATCTTAGGCGGTATTTCGCATCTGTTTTCACCGATGAAAGGACTTTTAAGAGATTGGATACCTTACTGGAACAACTGACGAAACGATGGAAGATATTGTCTTCTCAAAAGAAGATGTAAGGAAGCAAATTCTAGCGGGGCGATAAGCGAAACGTAGGCGGCTTAGAGTGTGCACGTCAACATATCTCCAATTACTTCTCTGAGAAGTTGGTTAAGAAGGACACGATGCATGAGCTGAAAAACAGAATAAAATGAAATTTCGGATGCGGGTACTTGGGTAGCGAAACCACGCACACAAAGAGAAATGTGAGCGGATACGCCAGTTTGATGGCAGGGTTCTAAATTTCCGATAGCCCTTTCTCACAGTCATTAAGAAGGTTGCCCGGGAAAGATATGGGAAGTAATGGTTGAATCGAGTCCGTACTCAGATAACAGCGGGGTTTTCTCTTAACTTATCTGGATTATCCGATGAATTTTTATCGTCTGGGAGGATATTTCAGAGGTAAGTATGCTCGTAAGCGAAGAAAGGGAGCGCTTATAAGTGGAGCAAGCGAAATAAGGTATAATCAAGGAAGAATTACGAAGATTTTATGAAGCAGTTAAAGTACCAGGTAATAGTCGGAGGGTGCCAAGCAATCTCAAGATCGGCCGTAGTATGACCAAATCAGTTTAGATTTAATACTGAAATAATTTTTACCAAAGACCCACCGGGATCCCATCAAAGCAAGTAAAAATAACTTATTATAGGAATTTCAGAAGAGGTAAGCAGCATCTGCACAATATGCAATCCACAGTTTCTGAATTGGTAGTCCGCTAATAAAAATGATGAGCGTGCAGTGAAAAAAGTCCACTCAAGAATTTAAAAAGAATTGGATTAACTTTACAGAAGAAAAAAACGGTGGCTCATAATAAGACAAAAATGCGGGCTGCGGCGGGGTATAACGGATTATAATCGGACATCGTCAGGGTAGAAATAAATGCCAGCCTTGAGGGGTACATATGCGGGTCAGACGGGACTGGCCTGCATGTGACATTGTATAAGGGATTCAAAACGGACATCGTCAGGCAGAATTGATACGTCGGATGAGACTATGCCCGTCAAAGTGGTCAGACGAGAGTATCCCGGACGCGATCGGTCACAGTCCGCTTCGAACCCAGCCGAGGAGTGGGGAGGGGAGGCATGACCAAACTACTAGTAGATGGTAAACACGGAGGGTTCCGTTGTGAGCGTCGACAGACCGCTTGAGGTCGAGAAGAGGAGGTGACAACAAGAATCGCGAAAATCGTCGATACTGGGGCGGAGTGATAGCAGCGGACTTAGCAATCAATGGTAGGTGGCGCTCACCGATCGTTCATACGGAACTCACTCGTTCCGTTAAGCCTTAAGGGCTCTATCTCGAGCTCAACCAGCAGCCGCACAGTGGCGCATGATATATAGGCAGAAGGGTATTACCGACATTCTGGATTGTCCGGATTGTCCGAGGCCAAGGTTGCTCATTAAGAACGGAGGACTTCTTTGAGTTTGCCTGTATAAACCAATTACGCGGTGTTGCCTACAAAGTCAAGAGTGAGCGCACGTGGTTAGACCGTAGAAAGTTTTCATTCGGCCAGCGGGTTGTCCGACCGTGGAACTCGCTTCCAAGCGAGATCGTGACAGTTGACACAATTTGCATGTTTAAAAAAAGATTTGCTCGCCTAATTTTTGACAGAAATCGGCATTGACAGTAACCACTGCCAGTTCTGTAAAACATTGTAATATACAACCTATCCGCACTAATTTAGATTGATCTGATATACTTCCGTATCATTACGATTGCACTGTGCCCGACCACACTGTAACTGCCCGCAATTCCATTTCGAGTGCGAATCTGCGAAAGCACTGTACATAAATAGGTTCATCAAGGGCTCTGCCTCTAATCCTCGGAATATATACACATATATGCACACATAGACACCATCGTTTTCAATGATAATGGCCCAATGGAAGGAAATTTTTAGGTACAGTTTCAATGATATTTCAGCCGAAATCAGAATATAATAAACTTTAATTTACGCCGATGACCTCAAGCGTGTTTACTCCTATTCTATAGACGTCGCAAATGTTTGTGTCGAAAAAAACGAATGCCGACTTACTACGCTTAACAGTTGAAGTTCAACATGGCAGATAGAATTTTCATCGCCCAAGTGTAGTTTAATATCATATGGCCTTGCCAAACTTCCATGCCTCACAATTAATTAGAATAACCCACTTTTAGAATGCGTCACCACAAAGGACCTAGGTTTAAGTTATAAAGATAAACTTGCTTTATCACACCGTGCAGATAGAATCTCTGCCAAAGCTGCACGAATATGCGGGTCAATATCACATAATGTTTTCTTCCGGAAAGGAAACTAAGACATTATCAAATTTTTGTTCTCTCAGTCCTCAAATACTGCCGTCCTTTCCTTGGTATAATGAACGCATGCGATCGTAATAAAGTCGAAAATTATCAGAGAGTTTTCACTCGGAATCTGTTCTCTCAATTTGCATTTAGTATTTCTTACACTCAGAGATGTCATCTGACGAACATTAAGTTTTTGTGGTTACAAGACTCGAAGCTGGCCTTTAATTCCTTTTTCGCATTAACTCTAGCTTCAATTGCCTGCTCACTGACACCTTTACTCTGACGGATCGGTCTTTTGTTACGTGCAACTGCTCCATGGTGATTTCGCCACCTCTTTGCACCACATCTAAGTACTCCCTCTTTTTGCATCCAAATTTGCATTTCTTCGGAATAATCTTCTACCAGAAATTAGGCTATTGCCTAAGTTATCCATATTCAAATCAAAATAGCATAAGCACATTACGCCGGAAAGTATGAAGGCACTTTTCGCAGTTTCATTCCCGAACATCCATATTTTTGACTTTGAGAAGGGTCCCCTTGGGATTTACTGGTAGATCAAGTAGAATGTCCCCGCTTATATCTTTACCGCCCCTGCTTTGAATTGGTTACTAAGTCCTCCCACGCAGCGACGATTTTCGCTGTTCTTGATGTCATCTCCCCATTTCGACCTCAAACGGTCTGTCGACGCTCACGGCGGACCATCTATATTCGACGTCTACTAATAATTTGGTCAGTCTGCAAAGAGATCCCATGATAATATCTCCCTTGCATCCTCCACGACTGAACTCAAGGCCGACTGGGACCGATTGCGTTTGGGCCCCTTTTGTCTCACCAGTCTGACGCGAATAGCCTCACCCGATGTATGAATTCTGCCCTGACGATGTCCGTTTATAATCCGTCATACACTGCCACACACAGACCGGTCCTGCCCGCACTTTTATCCTTTCATGACGGCGAGTTCTTCTCCTTTAAACTTAATCCAATCATTTTGTTTATTCTATAATGGAGTTTTCACTGCCCGCTAATCATTTTTCTTAACGGACTAATTATTAAATAACTATTTACTGTATATTCTATCTATCTGTTCTTAAATTTATACGAAAATTTATTTTTACTTGCTATGACGGACCTCGAATTGTCCTAAGTAAAAATGTTAATTATTATTATAAACGGGTGATTTACAGCAAGGGTGTAACCTGTCTGGATGGTAAGGCGACATTGGCTTGCCAGCTGAATACGCGGTGGGAAACACAGCGCTATGGGCAACAGCAAGGGAGGGTCGAGGGAGGTGCCAGAGTAGAGAGACGCAAACGTTGTGGAGCGTTACTGGAAGGAGATTGGCGGTAGTGAGAGGGAAGGACACCGAACATTTTCACCGACACGCAATTACGCCATCATCATCCTGGGTTCGCGCGAGCGCGCGCGCCAAAAGTGTCTCTTCATTCAAATAACCCTGTGCAGATCGTGGGACGTTACAGTCCTGCACTGTCACGCTGGAGAATGAAGCCGCCCATGTTTATTAAAGCGGGACACTTTTGACGCAATGTTCCTTGTTCCAGATCCATTTGATTGCTGTACACATCTTTATTTGTGGTCATCCAACGTTCCTGTAACTCACAAAAGATGATACCTCTCGTGTTCCGCCAAGCACAGAGGAAAAGTGGTAAATGCGTTGCTTCGAAACGTCGAGAAGAAGAAATGGCTATAGTGCACCAATTGCAATAAGCAAGTCGTTGAATGCGTGAACCGCCTGAGATTATTCAAGTCCTATCATCCTGACTGATGGGAGGATTCGAAACGCCTCTACAGCTTCATAAGTCCTGTTTCTCCCACAATATCAGATGGAGAGCGATTGTCAGATTTAACATGCGGCTAATGTGTTCTTTCGTTTCGAAGTGTCTCCTGGGTGGTTGTATAACTTTACGGAAGAACACTAAACTTATAAGGCGAAAGAGAAATGTCATTCTGATTGGCGGACGCGAAGTCTGACTTGCAGAAACTCGAACACTTTGACCGTCGACACCTCTAAGTAGTACGTGATTTTAACTAAGTCAGAGTTTCAGGGAGGCAGAGCTTCCCTTCACTTGTGTGCCTCCCAGTTAGCGTCAGTACAGGTTGCTTGACTTGACACTGTGTTAAGCCGGCTATTAACTCGGCTGAGGCGCTAGCTTGTCAGGGTTCATTGGAAATTGGTACGGCTTTCGAGCTTATAAATTAAAAAAGTGTGGGTAATTTGAGAAGCCGAGAAATAATAATTTTTTCCCGCAATTGGGGGTCGATCTAGTCGGGTGGGAGTAGAGCGACTATTTGAGGAGGACATATGGCGTTTACTGAAAAGCGTAAGCCAATACCTCCCAGCCTGGTTGAAAAAAGACAAAATTGAAGGGCCAGCAGCGTTATCCTTGCACGTGCGATTGGTTTTGAGCATCCTGTGGACCTGCGTACAGCCTTCCGTGTGATTTGCAAGGTCCCATTGAACTACTCAACCACCGGAAAGTGTCTACTAGCGATAGTAGGAGCGGTTCAAGTGGGGCTATGCAATCCCGTCTTGTCCATGCAGACGAACTTCGCACGGGCCCAACATTTGCCGTGGTCAATTGTCAATTGATCTGTTAACTGTTTACGGTTTTCCGCGCCTTCTTCGACTCCCCTCACACCTAATCTCCCAACGCTCGCCCATCCAAACTAACCACAACAATAATAATTTTATTATTATACGTCCAGAGCGCACTATAACAAGTGTGTTAACATTGAGTCAATTGGTAAAATACAGATAATGTAGACAGTAATGGTCCGCGTGAGCGGACAGGTGTATATTGACGTTCTGAAATTATTTTTTGTAAAGTTGGCAACGTTTCTCACGTCCACCGGCGATTTGACCCTTTGAATATACCCTCGTTGATAATACTATACACAAATTGGAGGTTTGTGGAAAAAACAATAAGCTACGAACGAAGCAGTGTAAAAATCTCCTGGGGGAACCGTTACTTCCAAAGATATTTAGGAAAAAAGAGTACTCTGCTAAGGAATTCGAAGGAGCAGAATAAGTTTTTGGTGAAGGTATGGTGAAAACCTAGGAATGTTAGGTAGTGGTAAACCCAGCGTCGCACCACTTGAAGAGTTCTATGGCCTCAAAACCAAAGGAATCGCGCCGCATTTCAGCTCCGATGGGGCGACGCTACTGACGAATAAATTGCTGCGTCTGAAGTGCTGGGCCGAGCACTTCAGAAGTGTTATCAACCCTCCGCCTACTCTCTTCGATGTCGCCAAAGACTGACTCCTTCAAGTGGAAACGAGGGACGACCTGGTTCTCTTGTCTTCTCTCCCCGAAACAACCAGGACTGCGCACCAACTCTTCAGCGGAAAAGCATTGGGATCTGGTGCAGTTCCGGTCGAAGCCTACAGACACGGTGGCCCCCGCTGGTAGATCAACTCACGGCGTTGTTCCAGGCGATGCGGCCCGGAGGACAAATTCCTCAGGATTTCGGGGATGCGACAATCGTCCATCTCTACATGCCAATCGGGAATTGGCAAATATTTGACAGCCACATAGGCATCTTGCTGCTTAACATCGCCTGGAAGATTTTCGCCAAAATCCCCCTCAACCATCTCAATGACCATGTCGAACGGGGAATTCCATCGGGAAGTTAATGTAGATTCCAACGTCACAATGGAGCCACTGGCAGGATCTTTATCACCACCAGCTGTAAGAGAAGTGCCAGGAAGTGCAAATCCATTCTCAGCCTCGTTTATTGCTATACTGGATTCCCATTGCTTACAGGGCCGACGACCACCTCCTCAACAGCCGGCGCATGCAGGCCTCAACGCGTCTCTTTACGACTATTATTTCCACTCTACCCTTTGCTGAGGACTGCGCACCCAATCCCGGGATGGGAGCTGACGTGCAACGAAGCATGGAAGTCTTCAATTCCGGCTGCGTCAACTTTGGGCTGACCTTAAACGCGGACTAAACGACAGTCATGCATCAATCGTCAACCAACACTGCATACAGTGCTCCTGGAATTCACGTCAACGATACCCAACTGTAGATCCTGGACAATTTCGCCTAATTATTTAGCAAACTCTCAGGCTGCCTCAAACTCCACGACGAAGTGGCTCACCGGATCTCCTAGGCCAGCCAAACCCTCGATCGGCTGAAAAACGCCGTATGGGTGGGCCAAGTCTTCGCCTTAACGCCAAACTGGAGATGTGCAGGACGGTCATATTGAAGATACCGCTGTATGGGTCAAAGACTCCGGCAGTCTATGCTAAACAAGCGCCGAAGCTCAACCATTTCCCCATCAGTCGACTTCAGCGGCCGCTAAAGCTGAGATAACAGGATAGAGTCCCGGACACTGAAGTTCTGGAACGGACTGGATTCCTCAGCATACCGCATCATGCACGAACAAGTGCAACTACCCTGAAACGGCTACTTCGAGCGAATGGAGGACGAACGCCTGCCCAACCAACTGTTGTACGAAGGTGCCGCCACGGTGCTCGTCGACAAGGATGTCAAAATCGTCCCTAAATGGACATCCTGCAGATCATCCTGAAGACTTGGGAAGACCTCGCACAGAGCCGACTGACCATAAGAAGAGCAATGAAGGCTGGAGCAACCACCCATGAAGCCAACTGCTTCGCCGCTGCCAAAATTAAAAGGGAAGCGCGCGATTCACAGGCACCACTGACCCGCAACGCCAACCCCCAACTGCCCCCAACATGCATGCGATGCCAGCGATCATTCTGCCAGAAGATTGGCCTCGTAGGCCAACCGCTGCTCATCCGGCCGTCCCCTATCTCCCACTGCGCCCATTAAGACGACCGCCCTTACCGCCGGTGCTCAACATCTCCGTGTCCCGCCGCCGTGGGTCACCGTCATCTCCATCATCTCTGACACAACCTGCGCGGCGATGACGACGGAGACAACAACAGCTCCCCTTCTCTACGCCGAGGAGAACCCGCCCAATGGCCCGCCAGCCACCACCCTCACCATTATCATCCCATCTTCAACGATGTGGATCCCGTCCTAATTCGTCCCTACTGGGACCGCACATTCACCTCACGCATTGGACTGGTCAGTCAGTCGCAGATCTGTGACCCAGAGCCAAGAGCTCCCATATACACTCGCTGCATCCGCCTTCACTGTCCACACCGTCCACGTATATTCACCCACCGCATGGGTCTACTCGGTGACGTGCGTATCCACGACAGCGGAATTCACCACAGTGTCGACACACCTGCCACACCCTACACAGTAACTTATCCTTCCTTCCCCAGCCCAATCAACTACCCATTGGTCAGTGCCCCCACCACTAGGAGCATCACAACGACAACCGACCCAACATCCCCCAACCTATCTTGCCCACACTGTCATTGCACGTTCACCATACGCATTGGTCTGGTCGATCACTTGCGGATCCATCGTACGAAAACTGGCGAGCCGATAAATGGAGTACTGATGTCGCCTTAACTGCCTGCACCGCTCTCGCACATTCAGCCATGGAATGGGCATATTAGGTCACATGCGCCTCCATGAAAACCTGTGGTAGAAAATCCCCGGTTTGAAAATGCGATTCCCAGGTGGCATATCAAAAGAAAAGGAGGCGTTCACCGGGGGCGTTGTATCGAAGGTTTGATTACATATGAGGGGATCACATATGAACAAATTAAGGGCACTCCGATGGGTTCACCGATCTCCGGACTCATTGCCGAGGCAATTCTGCAAAAACTCGTGGAAGGACTGTTCGGGGAATACAAACCCAAGTTTTGGACGCGCTACGTTGACGATACCTTCGTAATCATCGATCAGGATAAAATTAACTACTATGAAGAGCTGCTAAACTCAATCATTCCCGACCTACAGTTCACGATGAAAGAGGAAGTGGAGATCAAACTTTCATTCTTGGATGCTCTCGTCTGCCGCCAACCAGACGGCAAACTGGCGACGTCAGTTCATAGAAGACCGACGAACACGCTCCAAATGTTCAGTTACAACAGAAACCACCCACTGCAACACAAACGAAGCTGTGTGCGCACGCTGTAGCGGCGGGTGGGAACTCATTGCAGCCCTCCAGTCGCCAAACTGGACGAGATGAAGCTCCTCCAAGAACTCTTCAGAGCCAACGGCTATCCGCGAACATTCGTTGAACGGAGCCGAAAGCAACCAAGGAAGCGGAATGAAGAACCTAGTCAGCCAAAATCGTGGCGGAGCATTCCATACATGAAAGGGATCTCCGAAGCCGTAGCCAGATCCCTCGCGCCGCTCGGAATAGACGTTGCCCACAGGCCCGACTCAACAAGCCGCCGGCAAGTGATGCGGCCAAAAGACCTGATCCCTAAGCAGGAGATGTCGGCTGTTGTCTACTAACTTCAATGCTGCTGCGGAAGGTGCAAATACGTTGGAGAAACTGGCTGACGGCTGCAAACGCGCATGCACGAGCATAAGTTGGCCGTGCGAAGGTTGGACCCAAAGTCGGAGGTGGCAACCCATGCCGCCCAAATGGAACACATCTTCAACTTTGACGCCGTTGAAATTGTGGGCCCAGGTGATGATCATACAGCAAGACAGGTGCAAGAGGCCGGGATGTCTACGGGCTGTTCTGTCGACCGTCACATTGCCTCCCTTATCTGGTTTTACGGACAGTCGTGACGGGGGACAGTCACAGCGCGATACAATCGGGGCCGTCAACCATCGCCGTGGCCGACGAAGACGGGCGGGATTCAAGTCACGGTGACATGCGGGTCGGATGCAGCCACACAGGCGGCATTGGCGAGCCGGGCATCAAGCAAAGTGCGCCATATAAGGAAAGCTGCGTGCATGACTTCTCAGTCTCTGAAGATGGGTATAAGAAACGACTACTCGAAACATCAGACCTCCAATAAACCTCTCCCAGTGAACGCCTCCTTTTCCTTTTAATTACCGTCTATACTATACCACCACACCTCTCCTCACCAACACCTACAACACACATGACAACACACAACATCACACAACGCAAGCACGTAATGGGCATTTCTAGTGTGCGCACTCGACTGTTTTCCCCAATACCAACGCGGCAGAGAAGGAGAACACGACAGGCAACACAAAAATGTGATAGAAATCTCCAAGTCATTCTAACTGGAAGAGTAGCGGAAGCACCCGCGGCCTCCAGTGATTGGTTGGCTCTTGTTTTTGGGGGGGTGTAGGCACTCCCGACAGTCAGCCACTACGCTCATTGCCCGAACCAGACAATTTGCGGACGGGAGTAGGAATAGAGAATTACACCGACGCCTCAGCGCACCTTCCTCCTCACTATAAACAATCTCACGCGCTTGAAGCAATTACGGTGCACTAAAAGCCGTGGCTTTGAAGTTTGCAAACTGACGGATTAAATCGGACCTCGCAGTCAGCTCAGTATGTTTTTTTGTGGGGTGGCTGACTGGTGAACTGAGAATCAGGCTGCAATGGATCCTTCTTAATGTAGCCCATTCTCACTCCGTGAGGTCCGAGTCGCTGCCACCTCGCTGTGCAAACTCCTGGTTAATGTATGTTGTGGGCCAGAGTGTATGGTGGTACGCCAAGGTGCGGGTTTACACCGTGCTAGTCACATGCGTCCTCTTCCGCCTCCGATCTTCTTGACTGTGTCTTGATGCGCGGTCCAAGTGGGTAGAGAAGCGAGTGCGGTAGATTCCGCGCAAGTCTACCGTCGCACTAAGCTAAATCACGCGCAAATCGCCGTCTCTGCTTTCACCCTACAGTGGAGCATACGGTGGACATAGTCGGAAAGAACGGTCGAACTGTCATTTCATTTTAAATTATTATACCAGTGGGTGTAACACACTTTCATTTTTACCTTCCAGGTATATTAGCATGTAAATGCATTTTTGATGGTTTTTGGTCGTAACTATGGGTATGGCATCAAGACATCATCCCATGAAATGCCAGCCGATATTTTGAAATATGTTTTCGATTAGAAGGAGTTATTTAGGTAGGGTTGTTATATGACCTATCGTGCTGCATAATTCCAGGGTATTTCAATTACGTCAGTGTGCTGGCCTTCTTTCCAGTTGCCTGTCGAAACCACAACCCCCAAAAATTGTCGACTTCAGTAGTATGCATTTCTATTAATTTTTGCTCCCCTTACACCCCTAAAAATTTATAGAAAACATGAACAAAAACTTCTTTAACGTTCTCGTTTAGAAGCAGATTTTGTCTTTAAATTTTGTACCTAAGAAAGGGGCAGCTTTCGATATTAAAGTTTGTAATTATGGGATCTTTCAAGACTATGAAATGTCTGTGCACACAGCATCGTACTTGTCTGTTTATGAATTCTGTTTGCGAAGTTAACAACGTTGTCTACATTTATCATAAAATGGGCCGTATTTGACGTTTGCTTAATAGCGTAAAGAAGTATGCAATTTTTTTACACGGAAAGTAAATGCAACGGTAGATCGTGTTCATAATTATTCGGCTATGGAAAAAATTTTTTTAACATGTTACGATACTCTTTCTTGAAATATAGGATTTTGATGAGACGGAATTCGCTACCAACTGCAAGCAAGAAAGGATATTTTTGTGCATTTGTTCTGTAAAACGTTTGAATTCAAGAGAGCGTCTCAAATCAATGAGAAAAGTCATTTATTTACCGAATGTGGTTTTGGCAAGCGACCGAAAAGAAACTAATTCAAAAGCCGGTGATTGAAGTATTTCGTGGTTGTTGTTCGATAATTAATCTTGCCACCCAACCTAAGTAATCCTCCCTGGTCGAAAACCTATTTCCTTATTTCTGTTAACATTTTGTGAGAAAGGCTAAACACTGAAATCACATTCGTCATCTTTTTGACAGGAACACCACTTTTCTCATCTTATTTCAACCAGGGTTTTAAAAATGTCATCGGTTGTTTTTCTTCTGGTGGATTTCGAATTACCGCACCTTTAAAGTAACTTTTCATACTTCACACTCTCCTGCGTTGCATTATGCTATCACTTAAGATAAGTTTTCTATTGGTCGTTCCACCGCCTCGGTCAAAGCAACTGCATCTATCGATCAGGGCTAAATTCAAACAGAATGCCAGCTTGTCACCGCTCATACCGTTCGCCGTGTCCGTAAAATGTGCACACCGCTTATCATTCCCAAGCCTCCACCACCGACAAAACTCAATTCTCAGCCACCCGAGGTTGAATCACAACAACCGCCACTTTCAACCGAGTTTCCAGCCTTCTCGGCCCTCAACAAACGTAGAAGAGTGACCTGCCGTCAATGCAACACCCCGATTGGCTACCTCAAGCTGGATCTCTGTCACATTGACACCTACAGATCTGAGGCAGGTCGGGCAGCGCGTAAAACCATGGATGATCGCCTGTTCGGTGCGATTTACATAACCGACCCAGTGAATGTCCACGTGAGACGCATCAAGGCCGCTGGCAAGAAATTGAGCGGCCAACAGCTTCCCTTTGGCGCTGACGTACTGGAAAATCTCCAGGGTCAGAACAGGGAGGCTGAACAGGCTGTCTGCGATGAATGCGACACCTGCATCGGCGTACGAATCACAGAGTTTGAGGCGGTCCCATCGGCGCCCTCAGTCCTCACACCGGTTACCTGGGAGGGTGGTGAGGAGATGGAGAGTGTCGCCGCCTGCAAGCCACCGGGACCGCGGCAGGAGTGTGATCGCTACTTCGCCTTCTCCTACGACGCGGTGGAGGTGGAGCCCATCTTCGGGCTGATGGGAATGCGTGAGCTCTCGGTACGGTATCATGGAGGAGAGAAGTACTGGACAGAGGTGCGCAGTATTGAGGAGAGGGCGGAGACTTGCAATGACTCCAGCACCTGGAATCTGCCCATGACGCGCAGACCGCATCAGGTGGAGGTTACCAAGAAGACGGCGCATAACACCTGGCCCTTTGTTCACATGGACCTGGTGCGTGCAACTGATCTGCCCGAGGGAATTATCGGTCATCGGCCACTTTTGGACATTGTGAAAGACACTACGGAGGCCTGTTACGCGAAGCAGAGACTACAGACCCATCTGACCGATGAGATGTCTGAAGAGGAGCAGAAACAGGACCCAGACTGCAAGTGTCCAGAGAAGCCGAAAAAGTTGATGAATTGTTGCTGAGCGTCTTCCACCTCTGTCCGTCTCATTCCTTTTCATTGTTAACTATTGCTGGGATGGCGGGATGGCAATTTTAAATGTTTCTTAATAGACAAAAAGTGACCTTATCAAGACTGCAATATTAGCCACCAAGGGGAAATATCGTGGGATGACTCGAAGGCTAACTAATATGATCTAACATCCTCAGGAAAACAATCACAGTGCATATTTGTTGGAATAAACTACAGTACATTTTCTAAAACAATTTACACAAGCTTGGTCATTTCTTGCACCTAGTGGGCGGACAATTACGTCTTCCAAAATGCGATGGTTTGGAGCAGGGTGTAATTTAAATCTACAAATTGTGCGTATACGAAGTTACAAGCCGCTTAAGGGGGAATAGCTGAATAGAATTTCTTCTGTAGGTCTCTATATGCTATTATCAAAGTCAATGCATAAACCACGAAGGATAGGGGAGCTTTCCACAAAAAATACAGGCAGCTTATGGAGTGGAAAGTCAGAGGGATCTGTTTAAGATTGCACAAGAATTGACGAATTTACCCGAACAACAAGATATTTTAACACTTAATCTAAAGAACAGCCAATTTCTCGCGTAGTCATTTCAAATTTTGTTCTATGTAGTTTCCCCTTGTTGAATGTTTCCTTGACGTCGAGAGTTGAAGTGTTGGGTCTTCCGCAAGCAACAACCAGCGTGGAATCTTCGCATGCATGTGTGTTTCCTAAGATCTGAAAGTCTGTTAGCTTTGTCGTGTCTTGGGGCTCAATGAGGAGCCGTTGCAGGCATTCGCACGGCGACCAGAAGTATATGCAGAAGGCTAGTACCGAAAAAGACAGAACGGGGGGGGGTGGGATAGCCATTTCTGGCTCTCTAGCCCTCGTCGGTAAGCCTTGTTTAAACCAAAATTTGCGGCGGAACTTGAGCCTCAAACCTGCGTTCCTTGGCTATCGGACGCCTTTGTCGGTATTCGTTTTATGTGTAATAATATCAGCAGCTGGACTTGAGTATGGATGGCTGATGATGGTCAATAAGCCAAAAATGTCTGACCCAGTCCTTCTTGTCTTTGTCGAGTTTCCCTTCAGTTTTCTGGTTCTGCTTACTAGACGCACGCCTGCCCCTAAGGCTTCTTAACCGTCTTTCGAAGGCTGGACAAGAAATTGTGGATCGGATGTGGTTATGTGATCCCACCTGAAATAAACAAACCCCAGCTACCTCTAATACGGGACCGGTGGTAGTAGGGGTTTTAACAGCTGAGACTGGGGAACGCAGAAGCGACGAGGGCAAGTAGTTGTGTGCCAAAGAAAAACTATTGGGGATGCGCGGTTGTATTGTGAATGGTTGAGAAATAGTTGCGCTAACTCCTAACCATAACTTATAACCCTTAACCCCAACCACAACAGTATTGCGCCCATCAGGTGGGGCTAACAAACCACATCTTGCCGGTTCTTCTTCTACCGCAAGTGCTGAATCTCTCGACTACTCCTTCTAAAACTGTCATAATGTCCAAGTTTTATTTTTCCAGCGCCTCCATTTCCCACATCTCATGCTGGACATACTGTCAAAAGTATCTTCTCAGAGGTGGACGACTAAATTCAGACTCCTACTAGTCGAACGTAATTAACAATTATGACAGTTTGAATTTCAGGGTGGGTAGGTGTTGAATGTATTTCAATCCTGCCTCAGGACAAGCTATCGACTGTAGATAGCTTGGATGGCGTTGCATTTGATCCGTTCAAAAGACGAAATAATGTCGGTTTTCATTTGGACCAGTTCTACGCGCAAAGGCTTCTGCGGTTCTGATCGTCTCTAATAATAACCCGAATCAACATTTAGAAAACTGTTCCGCCTCATTTCCTCACTGGCATATAGCAACCAAAAGTATCCCTAAAGCGACTGCATAGTTCGCATTGGAGATTTCATCTCCCCAATGTCAAGGAGAATGTTTGACTTTCCACATCAATTAGTTTTTAATTTATGCATAAAGGTCCTTTCAGGAAAGAGGAACTTAGTTGTCCACTACGAAGTAATTTGCATGCATATGTTTGTGTCTGCAGAGGATCCAATAGGCTGAGTTCTAATCACACATTTTTACGGCGTGAATGAATCTGCTAGGGGCGTGCCGACCAGCTAAAACTTGTGAAGTTTTGAGCCAATCCTGGCAGGGATCTGTATTTTCAAGAAACAACTACAGCAGAATCTAAATGAGCGTTATTTATTGATCAGAGGTGGAATGAGAAGTGCAGTACAGTCTGTGGCGAATGTTCCGACTTATTCATCATTCGCCAATGTGGACCAGTGATGGCCACCCGGTTTCCGTGTGATTGGGGATGTTTCGTATACCTAGGCGCACTTTTCGTGTTAGTTCGCATGCGGTAAATTCCCAAAACGTCTTTAATGGATTGGGAACCGGCCCAAATACATCGGCCATAGCTCCCAATTCAATGTTGAACAGCGTCTAGTTAAATGAAAACTCAAAAGCAGTATTGGCAGGGATTTTGTGCTGTTTAGCACTAACAATTTTATTAAGAGAAGCTAACATTCTGAAATTTTGAATATTCGCGCCAACTTAGTTAAATTTGCTTGCAAAAGTATATAAAGCCTGCGCATGCAAACAGTTAAGAAAATGAAGTATCGCAAACACTGTTACAAAATTATGCGGTCAGATGTGGTTATGTAACCCCACCTGAAGTAAACAAACCCCAGCCACCTGTAATACGGGACCGGTGGTAATAGGGGGTTTTTACAGTTGTGGCCGCAGAACGCACAGGCGACGAGCTCAAATGGTTGTATGCAAAAGAAAAGCTATTGGGAATTCACCCTTGTGCTTTAAATGGTTGAGAAATGGTTGCCCTAGCCCGAAACTCTGGCCTCCTACCCAAACTCTAACACTTGATCCTAACCCCTGACCCTATCCCCCAACCCTGACTCCTAGCCCCAACCCCAACAGTATTGTGTCCATCGGGTGGGGCTGCATAACCGCATCTTGCCAAATTCTGAGACCGCATCCGAGGGAAACCGGGAGTCACTAACGTCATAATGCCCGGGTTGCGAATGGAACTTTTAAAATCGAAGCATCCCATGCTTAACGCTCCTACAAAAAAATCCACAACTATATTCTGGAAGGGAGAGGGGTTCATTCATTTCGACTGCGTGCACGCCCAAACGCAGACCTTCTGTTTTCTGTCCGTCCTAGAGCTTCCGCAGGCCCCGGCAGGGAGATGTGGAGCCGAAAGTAGAGACTGCCACGGAGATTTCGGTCCATCGCACATCATCAGATAGCTATATCTCGAGTCTGGTCCTGGAAATACGTAGCTCGATTCTCAACACTTAAGCCACTTGTTTTCTTCTCGGCCGAAGATGCAAATGTAGTTAGCTTGAGAAAACAAATCGAAAACGTTTTTTTAAACTTGCTTTATTCAGACAAACAGTAATGAGAATGTTGCCAGAGAAGCGTTTACCGACCGCGCTACGGGACTAACTCGTCCTGTTGTGCCTTGGGGTTCTCTCTGGAGCGCCGCCAGCAGCCGCGCAGGACGCTTGATATGGGCGAAATGCGTTATCTTTCAAGGCAAAGGAGGCTGGAATGGCCATTGTTAATATACCGATCGCAACCGACAGGACAGCGAGCCCGTGACTCAATGGTTAGGACGCTGGGCTTTTAACCAACAGGTCGCGACTTCGAACCCCGGGGATTGCATGCATCGGGATCAGGTATGGCTGGTTGATGACGGTTAACAAGTCGAAACAAGTGGGAATGTTGTATAACATGATGAACTAGATTTTGTCAGTAGAAAAGAGTAGTCTTTTCTGGACATCTATCGCATCCTTTAAACAATTCCAGCACATAGAAAGACGCCAAGTACGCTGGTGGCATTCAAAAAGTTTATACACAAATACGCGCTGTCTGGGTAACTAGTAAATGATTAATCTTTAAGTCTAATAACAGTTTTCGGAGGGTAGGTAGATGAGTGGTCGTCATCAGTAAAGCATCCAGCACCCGTAACTTTCCAATTAGTGTCAGGTGCGTTGCAAGCTGGCAGGGTACGCATGGCAGAAGTAAAAGAGAGGTCGGCTATCCCAAGTACGTCATTCGTTATCGTTGGAGATAACTCAGTCCCCAACTGGAGTGCTTTACAGTGACCGTAGGACTGAAAGTCAAGGCGTACGCGCGAGATCCCAGTCACCCTCACAGAAGCCTAGCACAGGTGGTATGTAGCGAGCGTAGGCGGGCTATTTGGTTTTGTCGGCCACTGCGTTCGCGCCGACCTCCGGTCGTCTTGACTTCGTCCTGCCGTGGGAGCCTTGGGGGTGAGGGAGGCGCCGCGAAAGTACAGACGTAAATCACCGGCGTTGGGCCCACTTCGGTAGGACCAGGCGCTGGACCTCGCCACTCGCAACGTCTAAACTGTCAGCACTTGAAGGTCACTGCTGTCCGAGGGCGCAGTGGTAGTTCGCGCACGAATCAACGTATACTGATGACGACTTGCCAGAGCACACCCCTCACCCTCTTCTCTAAATACCCAGCATAAGGCAAGATGAGGGGAGGTATGGGCCTAATGGCTGGCCGGGCAAACAATGTTTCTCGGAATTGAAGACGACACGATCGCTGGGACAAGAGCTTTACTAGCCTGACGCTTCGGATTTCTGCTCGAATCCATCATCGGAGACAAAAGCAGATAGGGGTGGTTCATGCATATGCGGCTGCAATATTTATAGGATGCAGTCGCCATGCCACCGCATACCAATGAATATTTACGGCTCTCCCCCTTCATCAGGGATCGTTGCAAGTGACGTGATGGCCGACATTCGCGTCGTTAATTGTTGCAATTTCATCACATGCGTTGGATGTTGGTGTGATGATTGCTTGACCATCTGACGCGCTGCCCCGGGTGTTGGGAAGAGTGTTCACCTATGCGCTCCCCGCGAGGCCAATTACTCCGCCTAGACGAAGTCTCAGCACGGAGTATTGAATAGGAAGATCATTGCACTTGTTCATAGATTGGGG